AGCCCTTCAAACCAAAATGTTTAGGGTTTAGGGTTTAGGGGTTTAGGGTTTAGGGTTTAGGGTTAGTCATAATCCTGTCAAACCTATGAAAACACAACAGACCTTTCAAACCTAGAAATCGCGAAAAGGTGGTTGTGGACGACCAGAGCGCGCGTATCGAGGAGTCGTGCGAGTTCCTCCTACGGCTGCTGGAGCCCGGGACCCGTTCTTTTGGTGATCGGCCATATATGTATACACATACACATATATAATGTGTATATATATATATATATATGCACATACATGAAATGTGTGTGTGTGTGGACACACATATACATATACATACATATGTATATATATATATATATATATATATATATATATATGTATATGCATGTAGATATGTGTAAGTGTATGTGTACGTGTACGTGCAGGTGCATGTGCATGTGTATATGTATGTGTGTGTATATATATATATGGAAACGCATATGTGATATATGCATATGTGCGGGTACATGTAGTTTTTCTTAGTGACTTAGTGGTCAGGTTTGTAGTAGCGTTATTCCAGGGGTCTGCAGTTGAGGGCTTTCCAGGTAAGGATTCGGATGAAGCTTGGATGCACGTAGCCTGTGCTGATAGGGGGAGGCGGTCTTGATTCCCGGCCCATGACTATTGCCGGTGGTTACTGTGCTAGAGGATCATTGACATCATATTTTCATCTGTTCTTGCTTTTGGTATTTGCTTCACTGGTATTCTTGTAATTAATTAGATGGTTCCTTTTCTGCCGGGCGGGTCATCGTATTGAGGGTCGATGTGAAAGGGAAATGTAGACACCTGATTAATAGAAACCCCCACCTGAAAAGGGATTATCATGGGGATGCTAATATTAAGGCCCTTGGAGAGGGGATGTTCACAAATCAGTGTTCCACATTAGCCGAGAAGGCCAAAAGAGCTCAACACTAAACCCTGAACTCTAAACCCTCGCGTTGCTGGTGGTGGTTTGGGTGTTCAGCGTTTGCTCTCGGGTTTTGGGGCCTTGGTTTCGTTTGGATCCCAGAGAGTCTTGGAACACCACAGGACCTGTGTCTAGACAATGCTCCACTTACAGGATGATGGGACTTTCGAGGATCTCCAGTAGTACCCTTATTCCCTTTTTGTAGTCCTAGGTTCCTTATAAAGTTACCCAATACCAAAAAGAGAGGCCTTTTTATTCTTAGGTTACTGGGTATCCTAGCCTCTTATTGGGGCAACTACACTTATAACTACTTACAACTTAGTAGCTGGGACTATGATTGGGGTACCTACTCTTACAACTACTGCTAACCGTACACCCTAAGGGTACCCACAACCTTACTTGCTAAGTCTCATGACCCTCCAATGAAGCCCGAAGCCCCAGGCCCCAAACCCTTAAACCCAAAGGCCCAGACTTCGGACCCTATACCTCTAAACCTTAGGCTGTAGCCCTTAACCCTAAACCTTAGACCCGCAACCCCTAAAACCCAAATCCCGGACTTTGGACCCTAAACCTTAGGCTTTAGCCCCTAACCCTAAACCTTAGACCCGCAACCCCTAAAACCCAAAACTCCAACCCGCAATCCGCAAGAAACCGGCGCCAACTTACCTTTGGTTAGTAGGGAATGGAGGAATGGGGGAATTGGGTTTAGGGTTTAGGGTATATAGTAGGGTTCAGGGTTTAGGGTAGTAGGGTTTAGGGTTTAGGGTAGTAGGGAATGGAGGAATGGGGTATAATTATAACTACTATCACCACCATTCTTCCATTCCCTACTAACCAAGGCAAGCTTGGTAAACCCTAAACCCTAAAACCTAAACCTTAAATAGTACCCTACATAGTAGGATCCTTATTAGAAGGACCGCCAGTATAAGGAAAACCCTTTAGATCCCATTAAGGAACCCTTATAGATCCCTTTAAAGGAGCCCTATAGATCCCTTAAAAGAGCCAGAGGTTCTGCTCCTCTGCGGAGCAGAGGCAGGCAGTGCTCCAGGCGTGGCTGCGGAACAACCCGCGCGAGATACCCGGCGCTTGCCTCAGCGGCGCCTTCAACGGGGTTTAGGGGTTAGGGTTTAGGGCTGAGGGCTTAGGGCTTCGGGTTTAGGGCTTAGGGTTTAGGGGTTAGGGTTTAGGGCTTAGGGTAGGGCTTAGGGTTTAAGGGTTACGGTTTGTTTAGGGCTCAGGGGTAAGGCCGGGTAAGGGTTCTATAGAGGGTTTACAATGAAGGGTTCTTCGAGTTTTAAATGCTGTTGCTAGAAAAGCTTTGAAGGGTTTGGGGCATTTTGATGTTGAGGCTTTAGGGGTTTAGGAAACTGCATTCAGCAGTGTATGGATAGTTCTACATGTCCAATGTATAGTCCGTGTCTGAGTCTCGAGAGCAGTGCCGCACCGTTACAAAGAGGATCTTACAGCGGACCTCAATGTTTAGGCTTGCGGTTTCCGATCATAGGAGGTCAAAAGGGGTTTTAGCCTATGGGGGTTTAGTAGGGATTAGGGTTCCCATAATAGGGTTCAAATTAAGGAATCCCTACCCCAAGAATCTTAAACCCCCCTTTTGGTCTCCCAACACCAGAGTGTGTTGCCTAGCAGAGTTGGGAGGTTCAGGATTCAAGGCCTCGTGTTTGGGTTGATGGCTTTGGGGTTTCCGTCGAGATCCTACACCTGTAAATGCTAAATATTAGTGCCTCCAAAGTAAAAGGACATACGTAGAAGCAATTTACGTGGAAGTTCCTACCGTATTGGCTTAAGTGAAAGGAGTTTTGTATGTTTTTGTTCCTATCCTGGGGTTCGCTTGCTTCTTTGGATCATGGAAGCAACTAACCTTTGATATTGGAGGAGCTAAGGAGCCAGGGATGATGATAAGCCCTATTGAATAAGGAGCTAAAGAGCCAAGGGAACCCCAAAACCACTGGTCAGACAAGCCGCAAATCCCCCAGTCCGAACCAAGAAAGGATCAAAACCTGGGTCGACCTGACACTTCGGTTCTAGAAATCCGAAGCCCCAACTCTTAAAGTCTTAAACCCTGAACTCGAAACCTTGAACCCTAAACCCAAAGCTTAAATCCTGAAGCCAACTCTTAAAGTCTTAAACTCTGGTTTCGATACCTTGAACCCTAAACCCTAAACCCCGAAGCTCAAAGCTTAAATCCTGAAGCCCAGACCCGAACCCCGAACCAGAAGCCTTAAATCCTAAACCTTGAACCTTGAACCGGCAGGTTTGGTGCTCAGTATCCAAGACTCAGCAAAAAAGGGCGACTAGGATCTCCAGTAGTACCCTTATTCCCTTTTTGTAGTCCTAGGTTCCTTATAAAGTTACCCATTACCAAAAAGAGAAGCCTTTTTATTCTTAGGTTACTGGGTATCCTAGGCGATTTCAGGGCACGCCTGAGACTCCTAACATGAAGCCCGAAGCCCTAAGCCCTATATACCCTAAACAATACAGTAGAAGCCAGAAACTTGGAACATCAATATCCTCGTCCCCTTAAGGTAGAGTCAAGGAAATCCTAGCACCAATCCTCCTACCCCATGTTCCAACTTTCTGAGGCTCACTGTATACAACAAACCCCAAAGAAGAGCCCCAACGGTAAATTGAACAGCCTGCACGCAAGATGCAGAGTCACAGTCCCATATATGTAGGGGCCTTAATGAGTAGAATAGGGTTCCTTTTAGAAAGGGTCTTCAAGGGATACTACAAGGGATCTATGACATAGGCGCCTTAATAAGTAGAACAGGGTTCCTGGGTTTAGGGTTTAGGGGTTTAGGGTTTAGCCTTAAGTATAGGGTTCCTTTGAAGGGTTATTATAGGTTTCTTGAGCATTTCATGAGAGCTTAAGGGGTGCCAAGCTGTTTTTCTCGGCTGCTTAAAAGCTTTGAGCCACTGGGTAGGGGTTTTGGACAATAAGAACTGTCTAGGAACCGTGTGGAGAGGATGAGATCGAACGACTAAATTAGGGTTTAGGGTTTAGGGTTTAGGGAGTCCGACTAAACCCTAAACCCTAAAGCGGATCTTATTGGGTGATACTCTTGATTCTGGGGTTGGGTCCAACTGGCTCCCTCAACTATGGGGTTTCGGACGCGAGTGCAGACGGAAAGGGCCCATAACAAAACCCCTAAACCGTGGAATCCCTGTGTTTGAGTCGGCTTTGGCTTCGGTATCGGTCGTGTGTCGATGTGGCTTACAGCTTCTGTGCTGCGAAAGAACACTCATCCAAGAAGAGTCAGGAAGTAGTGAGTAGAAGTTATACTTGTCTCCATGACCGTTTCGATTGCTAGTCTTAGTATCATGACCGGTACCAGCGATAGTGCACGTCGTAGTCATGATCATATCGTTCCTCGCACTCAAACCGACACAAGCAGGGGCATGAGTAGTATAGTGGCCTTAATTATTAGAATAGGGCTTGGGGGCCCATTACACAAAAATTGTAACAAGGAGCCCCCAACATAGTATGGGTGATTATCAAGGCCCCGATGTCATAGTACCCTTGTAGATCTCTAACCCTAGACCCAAAACCCTAAATCCGAATAGTAACCCTTATACACCCCTTTTAAAGGATCTCGAGGGGACCTTATAGGTAGTGCCCCAAGACCTTATAGTAGAGCCCATAAAGTTGGAAACCGGATAAAGGTCAAATAGTGCTGGGATTCCTTTTGCATTACTCTTAAGGATTGAGGCAGGCTATGGGGTTTCCAACTTTTGGGCTTCTACTGTAAGCCGTAACCCTAAACCCTAAACCCCAAACCCCAAACCCTAAACCCTAAACCCCAAACCCTAAACCCTAAACCCTAAACCCCAAACCCTAAACCCTAAACCCTATTGGGTTTCCAACTTTTGGGCTTCTACTGTATTCCAACGAACAAGGCGCCTACATTTCATTTTCTCGTTGTCCGAAATGGGAGTTTCCGAAAATTAAGGGGTACCTTAGTTTGGGGTCCTTATAATAAGGACCCTACTATCTGGCGTATTATATTAGGGTCCCCTATTTTCGGAAATTCCCAAATCTTGATGCCGCGAGATGCAGCTGTTGGGACTTTTGCGACCGTCTTGCAGTGCGGCGGTAAGGCACCAAGCACGGCTGGAGCTGCTGTTTGCTTATTTGCCCTTACTTGGTTCGATCGTTGCGGGTGTCTCTGGCTCAGCTGACGATTCTCCGAGTCGTTTCCAAGCGTTTCCCCTATTTCACTTTCTCGGCGCCGTTGTCCTGGTGTCCGTCGGAGTCTTGCTGTGGAAGAAGAACTCCTTGCCCTCGGTAGCCCATTATTTCGAGGACCCTCTGTGCAGCAACGCGCTCTGCGAATGCTTCAGCTGGCTTCCGATAGCCGTGACCTGCCCCATGTTGGTGACAGGTCATGCGCAGGACATTGCCCTTACTTTCCTGGACATGTTCAGCGCCACGGTGATGTATGCGCCCTTGCTGGAAGCTCCTCTGCAACTGATCGCCCGCTATGCAGCTTACACTGGACTTGCGTGTGCGAGAATGTTGCACCTAATGATTTCAGACCCAGACAGTCACATCAGCCTGCCACCATACATCTTCGAGCTACTTCTTGTGGGAGCCTGTGCAGCAATGGCCTTGCAGATCAGGCTACGGTACTTGAGCTTGAAATCGACTCCACTTACCCCCGAATGCCTGGAAGAAAGCAGCAGAAGCACTGCAACGGGAAGAGGGTCATCGCATCGCTGCCTCCAGACGACGCAGGAGCACAAGTCAAGCCATGAAATTGAAATCCCAAACCCTGTAAGCCTTAAACCCTAAACCAGAAACCCAAATCCTACACCCCAAATTCGAACCCCAAAAGGTCCGAAACCCTAATTCCTACCCCCTGAAACAGGAGCCCATGTGGTTACGAAGCAAGGCAGGGCGACACCGCCAAACGCCGCAGGAGTACATGCCCTTGATGGCTGATCGAAATCGGGGTGAGGCTGGTGTGAGATTTCACAAGGCCGGTTTAGGGCTCCCCATAGTAAGGATTTAGGGTTTAGGGAGTGTTTAGGGGTTAGGGAGTTTAGGGGTTTTAGCAATTTAGGGTTTAGGGTGCAGACTCCAAAACCCTTTAATTCAACAGCATAGCTTAAATTGTAGAGATCCTCATGATGAGTTAAGGTAGAGCCTGAATTTAGAGGGTTCTGGTGGAGTCTCGGGGTCTTAAGCTACGGTCCAGCGTCTTAGGGTTTAGGCCTGGATCCTTGAGCCCCAACACATCCCTGAGGCCCTAAACTCCTACGCCCTAATTAACCCTCCCACCCAGCACATTGCCACGGCCACTGGCGGTTACTAGTGCTGCTTGTATCAAACACACTTGACACACGCTCATCCGAAATCCAAGACGGCGGCATGCAGCGGGCTGTGAGTGGCCGGCTTAGTTGCGACAGAAGAGGAATGTGTTGAAAGCCATTTTGCTTTGGCAGTCTTGCGTAGATGTGTATTTTGACTTGTTTCATGCCCGTGCTGCGTGCCTGACTCAACGTCAAGGTGTTGCTATGCCGGCCTTTGCACAGCCTTGGGGCCAGCCCAATCCTGGAAGTGCTGTTCTTAGCTTCTCTACCAATGCGGAGTTGCGGTTGGGCTGAGTCCTGCTGCGATTGATTGCGTTCAAGCTGCAGTGATGTGCATGGCTGCAGTTGGCAAGTACTGGCGGTTACTAGGGCTGCCTGCGTCAAACATTATCAAACGCAAGTAACAGACGCTCATCTGAAATCTAGGACGGCGGCGTTCAAGCTGCAGTCAGCATGCCTTGACCTTGCGCATCCAAAGGTATTGCTGGCCTTCTGGTGGTTTCAGGAGATGAAAGACTCCGCCAAGAATGCGCTTGGCGGTGCCTGAGCTTGACTCGGGTGCTGGAAGAAGCTTGATTGAGGAATGGCGCGTGCAAGCAGCTGTCGACATGTGGCCGCAGGCTCTCCCACATGGCTTGCAAGTCTACCACGCCACGACTGGCACTTTGATTCGCTTTCATGCGCACCACCACCGACCGGCCACTCGTACACTGGTGCACCTGCTTGTGTCTCCTTCCATTCTGGTCACTGCCCCTTGCCTGTTATACACAGAGCCAGCCGGACCCAGGCAGCCTGGCCACTTCGAACGGCTCATTTCGATTGTTGACTTCCCGGACTGCAACAGGAAGGTCGCCCGCAGGCGTGGCGGGAATGTTGCCCCCGACGTGGAACTGCCCATGTGCGGGGCCGGGAGACTGTCTGGAGACAACTCACCATCAAGATCACGCAGTCCTCGTGCAGCTGTTTTACGGTGCAGCCCCACATCTGTCGCTTCTGTCACGGATGGGCCATGTGCGCCCCCACCCACAGGCTTCTCCGCCCGAACACACATGCCGCCTCCGCAGCCTCCTTCCAGTGTGCCACTGGCCCAAGTGACTCCCACTTCGCACATGAAACATGCAGCACGGACGTTGCCAACTATCCTCGACTCACAAGCATTGCGAGATCACCCCGCGCAGGTGCAGAATCGTCCCCCAGCCGTGCAGTACTTGGCTGGCAGGGTGTTGACGACACTGTAGTGACCACCTCACATCAACAAACCCTGCAAGATAGTTGCTTGAGCCTGCCTGAGCCATGTTCGCCTGGCCGATGCACGCAGCAATTCTCGCCTCAAGAAACAAGCCGAAGTGCGCGTGCGTTGCTGCCGCGGCCAGCAGGCCGCGCCACGCTATAGGCATGTCCCAGCTTCCTGACAACCCTCGCTGCGGCATGCCCGTGGTGACAACGCGGAAGTTGGTCGACGAAATCTGCGACAGGCTTACGCAACCACACGGTGACTGCACGCCGAGGGATGATCCGCAGCCCTTCAGGTCAGACTGGTCTTGGCTTCCTGACGAGGCTTGCACCGTGCTACGCAAGCGCTTGCTCGGCGGCCCGCCTCGCAAATGCCTGCTACAGCAGGGATGTGGCCAGTGTCCTCGACTCACGAAGTCCGCAGCACTTGAGGCCAAACTGGTCTTGCTATCCTGACGATTGCAGCATGCCCACTTCTGTTTGCCACCATTGCAAAAGCTTGCTCGACGTCCTGGCCGCTTCCCGAGCCCTGGCGCGGATGCAGCTGCGCCGCCAGGCGCTCCTTCGATCTTCCCTACACACACAGCCGCCATGTCAAGTCTGCTCCTGCGGCCTGCCTGCCTTCCCGACTGGACGATCCAACTCAGCAACCGCGACAAACCCGCCGTTCCAAACCATGTCCGCGGGCGTGAACGGTACTTCTGATTCTCCGGCCGACTCTGCTGTGCCTGAAGCCACCAGAGCCCCCAAGAAGAACCCCGAACCCTAAAGCTTTAACCGTTAACCCTTTCGAAACCCTAAACAGAGCTTAAACAAACCCTAGACCCCGAACCTCTAAGCCCTCAACTCTTGAGCCCTCAACTGGAGGCTCGAAACTGGAGGCAGGCCCTAAACCTTGAACCACCAAACTCTAAACCCCAAACCCTCCCTGAGAACCCTAAGCCTCCGACTGAGCTGGAGGTCTAGTCTAAACCCTAACCCCTAAACCCCGAAACCCTGAACCCCTAAACCCCCGAACCCCTAAACCTCTAAACCCCTAAACCCCTACACCCCTAAACCCTAAACCCTAAACCCCTAAGCCCCTAAACCCCTAAGCCCCTAAAGCCCTAAGCCCCTACACCCCTAAACCCTAAACCCCTAAACCCTAAACCTCCAACTGGAGGTCTGGATGCGAAGGCAACGTTACAAAGCCGAGGTTATGGGTCGCCTGCTTTGGGCTATCCATATGGTCAGGCAGACAGAGCTCACTTCTGAGGTGGGCTTGGGACGTTACAGCATTTTAGGGGGTTTAGGGTTTGAGGCGTTAGGTCCTGAGGTGGGTTGAGCGTTTCGTTGACAGCTTCGGGCTTGTATGGTTTAGCTTTAGGGATTAATGTTTATGGGTTTAATGATCGGGCGTCGGTTTTATGGGGCTTCAAGGCTTTAGAGTTTTAGGGCTGAGGGTTACATTGTTTAAGGGTTTACGGTTTAATGGTTTCGGGCTGAAGGTGGCTCAATCCTGAGGTGTTGGACAACATCATCTCCTTTCTGCATGAGTCTGAAAGGCCTGTAACAGAATACGTCGGCCTCTTGTGGGAGGACGCCCGGTCTATGATCTCAGGCTCGCGGTATGCTGTCTCCAGCTCTACCTGCGCCTTTTCGTCCCTTTCTTCCGTCGCCCTCCTGCGCACGGCCGTGTCTGCGCGATGGTGGCTCGCATTCGACTGGCCTCGGCGGCAAGGTGAGACCTTAAAGGATCATGGGGTTTAGTAAGTAGGTTATAATTGAGGTTATAAGTCCCTAAGTGAAGCTATCCTAATTATAACCTGCTTATAATAACTTACTAAATCCCATGAGCCTTTAAGTCGCCAGGCGAGCAGGCACACGGCTGAGACGTCGGTATATCCTATGCCGGGCCGCGAGGGCCCAGTTGCTGCATGGAGGGATTTCAGTCGCATCTGACCGTCCTTCTGTTGATGGTATAAATCCTGCATTACTTTAAGGCCCCTAAACTATGGGAAATATGGTAGATTCCTTATAACGGGTCATGCAGGATTTTTATCATCAACCGTTCCATGTCACTCCTTTTTGGAGTCTCCAACTTTTAAACTTTGCGCGGACAGGCTCGATCAGCGACCCCTGATGCCGGGGCCACTGGCACCCAGGGTTGCGGCTCAAGCTGCGACCCGCGGGTCATCATACTTGGAGGGTCGTGGGACTCAGCAAGTAAAGTTATAGATACCTAATCGGGTTTTGTAAGTAGTTATAAGTGTAGTTACTATGGGATTTAATACGTAAGGTTTTAGATTCCTTAATTGAGGTTATCAGTCGTTAATAGGGGTGGTTATCCCAAGAGTAACCCTAGTTTCTGAGTCCCATGAGCCTCTAAACACCTCAAAGCCATCATGACCTAAACAGCTCGGCAAAGCTCCCCGTGCAGGAATGTTCTCATGTCATTCATGTTCACAGCCCACGTAACCTTCATCAGAACCCCAAAAACCCCGAAACCCCTAAACCCTAAACCATGAACTCTAACCCCTAAACCCTAAACCCCTAAATCCTAAACCCCTAAACCCCATAAACCCTAAACCCCTAGTTAAACCCTCTCAACCCCCTAAACCCCTCAACCCTCACCCTTAAACCTTTAAACCCTAAACCCTCAACCCTAAACCCCAGAGATCCCTTAAGGTAACCCTTACTTAAAGGATCATGGGACTTAGTAAGTAGGTTATAATGGGGGTTATAAGTCCCCTAAGTGGGGTTATCCTAATTATAACCTACTTATAACCTTACTTACTAAGTCCCATGAGCCTTTCAGTAGACCCTAAACCCAAAACCCCATAGATCCCCTTAGGGATCCCTATAGATCCCTTTAAGGAGCTTACTTACTAAGTCCCATGAGCTCTTTAAGTAAGCCACAAACAACACCCAAAAGCCAAAAGGATCCTTAAACCCTGCTGTAGAGCGCTGGGAGGGGCATGTCAGGGCTCCGGAGGTGAGGTTTAGGGTTTAGGGTTTAGGGGTTTAGGGTGTAGGCTTTGGGAGTTTAGGGTTTAGGGGTTTAGGGTGTAGGCTTTGGGAGTTTAGGGGTTTAGGGGTTTAGGGGTTTAGGGTTTAGGGGTTTAGGGGTTTGGGGGTTGAGGGTTTGGGGTTTTGGGGGTTTAGGGTTTAGGGGTTTAGGGGTTTGGGGGTTGAGGGTTTAGGGGTTTAGGGTTTAGGGGTTGAGGGTTTAGGGGTTTAGGGTTTAGGGGTTTAGGGTTAAGGGGTTTAGGGTTTAAGTTTCTCGATGGGGCCATGCACCGACAGCCGACTAACTAGAGCCCCAACTCCCAACACCCCAGACGTTAACTCCTTGTTGTGACTCAAGCTACCTTGCTTTTTTCAGGTTATAGTTATGTTTAGGGCTCTCTGGCTTTCAGCTGTAGGGTCTAGGGTTATACCAGTACCCTATATTTAAGGGGTCAGCATGCTGAGCTGCATTTTTGTCGAGCTTGTTGGGGGGAGGTCTCTGTGAAACCTTGCGTGTCGGGGCTAGGGGTTTAACACCCAGAGCTCCGAAACGGACCTGAACCCAGAACAGGGCCCGAGAGTGCGTAGAACCGTTTATTCAAGGAGCCGTTAAAGGAACCGTCTTCACCCTGTTCTAGCTTTTCAGAACCCTAAACCCTAAACCATAAGCCCTAAAACCCTAAGCCCTAAACCCCTCAGCCCTAAAAACCCTAAACCCTAAAACCCTAAACCCTAAAACGCTAAAGCCCTAAGCCCTAAAACCCTCAAAAGAAAAGAGCCTAAACCGCAGGAGCCCCTATTCACCCCCCCCGGTATTCTAGCCATAAAGGCACCCAAAGTTAGCTCTGGGTCCTCGGTTATACTGGAACGCCGGGGCCCCAAACTCAAAACCTACAGCCTGAAACAACAAAAGCCCTAAACACAAAAAGGCAAAGCCAGCAGGGAAGGAGAGACTGTGTGTTTGTGCATATATATATATATATATATGTATATGTATATATATATATATATTCACACACACATATGTCTCTCTCTCTCTCTCTCTATATATATATATATATGTATATACAGATATTTATATTGTATATGTAGATAACATTACTGTTGCTGAGTTACCATTCAGGAAAGAAGAGCACCTCTCCGACGGCTGCCTCCACCGATTTTCTGGAAGTGCGTACCTGCCTCAGGGGGTGTGGTATACTAGGTATCGGTTGGGGGTAATTCTTGATTCCGCTTGGTGTTTAACATAGAGCCTTCTTATATATGGTTCTACGGACTCTTGAAATGAACACCTAGTATAGGGTCTTCGGAGAATCCTACTTCCCAAACCCTTAACTCCTTTAGCCGTAAAGTTTAGGGTGCAGGGTTCAGGGCTTAGTAATTTCTAGTGTCTCAAGGTTTTCTGGGGTGTCGAACTTTGGGATTCTTGCATTCTTTTCTTCTGGGGGGTCTGTAATAAGAAAGGAGCCTTTTCGAGTAGAATAAGGATTTGGGGTTCAGGGTTCAGGGTTGAGGGTTTGAGGCTAGTTGGACTAAGCTGTTTTGGTGGATTTTTCCATGGTCATATAGGGACTGAAAGCTCATCTCATGACTGCTTCTTGCGACCTCGATCTTATGTTGAGTGTCCTCTGTTTTGGACCTATGTCGGAGTCTCCGGAAATAGAGGATCGGGGGCCCGTAACATAGCATCGTAAATAGTAAGTAGGATCCTTATTATACAGTATGGTACGCCCAGTCCCGCATTATAAGGACCCCAAAGCAGTGTATCCCCAATTGCCGGGAGCTCCCTTTTTGGTGCCCAGGATTCAGATGAAGCTCTCCGTTCGGCTTGCAGAGTCTTGCATTGCGCTGGGGCGCAGAAACCACGAGTTGTGCTGAACCCCAAAACCCAGAAAACAAGCCCGAACACCCCAAAGAAAAACCAGAAGTCCCTCAAGAAGAACGTCACCAAAACCTCCGCCCAGCTTTTGTTGTATCCTCCCTTCTCACCTAACCCTAAACCCACAACTGCAAACCCCAAACCCGAAACTCTAAACCCTGAACCCCAAACAAGCCCAACCCCAAACCCCAAACAACAAACCCTAGATCCTTAACGGAACGCTTTCAAGAATCCCTTACAGGAACCCTCAAACACATGAAGCCCCAGATAAACATCCCCAGCCTTCTCTTTTCAGGCCCTAAACCCTAAACCCTAAACCCCCAAGCCCCAAACCCCAAACAACAAACCCTAAGCCCTCATAGATCCCTTAAAGGATCCCTTAAAGAATCCCTTAAAGGATCCCTTAAAGAATCCCTTAAAGGATCCCTTAACGAATCCCTGAAAGGATCCCTTAAAGGATCCCTTAAAGAATCCCTTAAAGAATCCCTCAAAAGATCCCTTAAAGACTATCCTTAAAGGATCCCCTTAAAGGAGCTCTTTTCAGGTCGCCTGCAGCGGTTGAACTCTAACTTGATGACCCCGGCCGTCGCTGTCAGCTCAAAGGCTGGTGTAGGGCTTAGGGATTAGGGATTAGGGGTTAGGGTTTGGGGGTTTAGGGGTTTAGGGTTTAGGGTTTAGGGGTTTAGGGGTTTAAAGGGAACTCCAGAAAGTTGGAATATGGTTTCAGAGTAGGATACCCTATAATTTACCACAAAGGGTCTAGGATAATGATATTCCAACTTTCTGGCATTTACTATAGGGGTTTAGGGGTTTAGGGGTTTGGGGTTTAGGGTGGTTCCTGGGGCCTGTGGGCTCTTGGAAGAGTTTAGGGTTTAGGGGTTAGGGGTTAGAGTTTAGGGTTTTGGGTTTAGGGACGTTTTTAGGGTTTAGGGGTTAGGGTTTAGGGTTAGGTTTTTTTGTTGATTCGCACATGGCTTGTTCTTAGATTTGTGTGTGTTTTTTCTTTGCGGGTTTTAGTTTTTAAGGTTTAGGGTTCAGGGCTGAGGGGCTCCTGTCGGCTTAACTGTAGAGGGCCGTTATAACGGATCACAGGCCGACGCCGGGGCGACGTTTTCAGGGTTTAGGAGAAGGGCTTCTTCTTGGAGGTTCATGGGACTTAGTAAGTAAGGCTATAAGTACCGTAATTGGCGTACGGTTATGAGTAAACATACGGTTGATGATATAAATCCTGCATTACCCATAGTAAGGAATATACCATAATTCCCATAGTTTCGGGTCCTTAAGGTAATGCAGGATTTATATCATCAACCGTAGGTATAGTCGTCGTGTTTATTACCCTAGCTACTCGGCCCCATGGTCCTTGAAGCAAAGGGTTTCGGATTGCAGGTTTAGGGCTCAGGGCTTTTCGTTGCGCTGGTTTAGGGTTTTGTAGGATTCCATCATGCTTATGGTGCTTCATGCAGCTTCATGTGGGGCTTGTATTTCGTCGTTGATGGATCTGTTGGAATCGTTTTGAGGTGGAATAAGGATTCTTTTCGGGCTTCAGAGCGATGTTTACTATGATTCGATAATGTTGCCTTTGTTGTAGGGTTATTTTTGGTGTTGTAGTGTGTGATTGCTGTGAACGATATCGTGCCTGTTAGTAGTATTAGCATCATTATTGTTGTCATCATTACAGTATTTTGTGTTATGCGCGGTTATAGAATAGGATTTAGGGCTGGGACTTTCGTTGTTGCAGTCATTCCCAGAAGCAGGGAGACCCTCATTATGTGTTGCAGCCTCCGACATGCTCGAAGCCGCCATTGATGCAACTTGCGTGTCTGCATGTACTTAGGAGTTTCCGGGGAACCATGATGTAGTACCCTAGATAGGAGGATCCTTGTAACCAAAATAAGGTACCCCTAATATTCGGAAACCACCACTTCGATGTCTATGCTTGTAGTTTTTGGACAGGGCCGAGGGGGGAAGATCTGACAGGGTTTGGTGGTTCACACAGAAGTGGTG